ATTGGAACGTCCACCCTCATCGCTCAGAGGAAAAAGGCAATATCTAATCTAGCGGCCGCGAGCTACCGGATGTACATAGTTTGAATCTCATCAATTTGAAAACCTCTGTGAGTGGAAGCCATTCTACTCGGATGTCGACTTCAGTATACGCGCTCGAGCCAGGGTTTTTGTTCTGGTAGAAGCCAACATGGCTTACAGAGTCGCTGAATTCGGTTTCATCTGACTGTCAACGAGAAGAAATCTTCATTCAAGCGGTACCTGGTAGCAAAGAGCCTTCAATTCGAAAGCTCATTCCCGGGAGAAAAGTTCGATGATTTGCTGGAGTCGAATTTTCAGATGAAAAACAAGACATTCTGGCAGATTAAACGGCGCATCTGAGATGGAAAGAATGGCAGTCTTACAATACTGAAGCAAATAACGGGCATTAAATTATCAGCAGATGAATTCCTAGAAACTGTTAATAGCCTGAGAAGTGGCAAGGCTGTTGAAATCGATGAAACCCGCCCTGAAATGGTTAAAGCCTTAGGCGAACATGGCACGTTGTTTTTGACACGTGTGTGCCAAAGTGCACTGGTTAGGGGGAAGACGCCAATGGATTTGAGAACGGGCGTTTTAGTATATATGTTCACAGGAAGAATGAAGGGAGACCGTGCAGAATGCTCCAATTACCGAGGGACTACCTCATGTAACCTCTCTGGAACAGCCTACAGTAAAGTGTTAGAAAAGATTTGCACCGGAATAACTGACTCGAAGATGCAAGAAGAGAAGCTTGTCTTCAGTTCAATTGTACCAAACATTGCAGTCAAAATGCCTGCACCTCGAAAATTCAGGATTTGGGGGGAGGCATGTCATAAATTTCTGGAACTGCAGGAAATTGGCTGGATCGACTATAAGCAGGTGAGAGAAAATGCAATAAAGACATTTGAAAAACGCTTCACTCCAGTCCTGAAAACATACCTTTCATCTATCAGTAAGATCAATGATGTCAATTCCTCGGTGTTAGCGTATAAACTTGGACTTTTGAAATGATCACAGATTTCTCTCTGTGATATTGATCGAAATGTCAAAACTACATCCCCGTCTGCCATGGTCTGCAGCTTAGTTACATATTACATAGTTACCCCGCAGCTGCGGTCTGCTGAACCTTACTTGCAAAGACAAAAGACCCTGAGCACACACGTTCTGACGAAGAACTCATTTTAACCGAGAGCCATAGAGAAGCTGACACTTGAC